TTCCCGTAACTTTCTCAGTATAACCGTTTGCTAGGTCGTCACTTTCCCATCTGCAGTTTCACATCTCCGGAGAAGAATACCACCTTCAAGCCTCAACTGGTCCCATTGTGCCCAATAGTTCTTTGTCACAGGGCTTAGACTAGACACCTTCTCTAAAGCAGGGCACAAAACACTTGCTTTTAGAAAATCAATTATTGGATTCAAATCTTGGTCTTTCTCCTACTCTGCTTTGATATCTATATTTGGTTCCACTTTACCATCATCAACTCTTTCAGTCACCTTGACTTCAGCTTGATGGAACTTGGTTAGTTCAACCTATCTTTTGCAGCAATGTTTGCAGTCATTTTTGCAGGGTGTTCAGCTCAGTCCATCGGCATTACCATGAGATTTTCCCTCTGTATTCAATATCATAATTATACTGGTCTATCTTTCGAATCCAACGTGCAAGTTGTCCCTCTGGGTTATTTAATGATCTTAACCAGCATAACGCAGCATGGTCTGTCCTGATGGTAAACCTTGCACCATAGAGGTAAGGATGGAAATAAGTCAGACTCTTTACTATAGCAAGGAGTTCCCTCCGTGTTACACAGTAGTTCCTCTCTGGTCTACTCAAAACCCTACTGAAGTAGGCCACCACATGTTCGTTTTCGCCCACTTTCTGAGACAACACTCCTCCAACTTCGACATTACTAGCATCGCAATCCAGTATGTATGGCAGCGAAGGATCAGGAAGCATTAAAAGTGGAGCAGAGGCCAATTTTTCCTTCAATGTATTGAAAGAATGCTGGCAAGAAACTGTCTATTCAAACTTCTGACCTTTTTTGTCAAATCATGTAGTGGAGCAGCTATAGTTGCAAAGTCCTTCACAAACTTCCGATAATAGGTACAGAGTCGCAAGAAACTTTTTAACTCTCCCACATTGTCTGGTGTTGGATAGTCACACACTGTTTTCAGGACCAGTTTGCACACCATGCTCACTTACAATGTGACCTAAGTAAAGCACCTCTTTCTGAAACAAGTGGCATTTCTTGGGATGGAGTTTGAGGCTGGCTGCTTTCAAAATGCTTGAATA